AAACTCAGTGCAAAACATACAGAAGAATTGTTGGAAAGCTACAGTGGCCATTTTTTCACACGACCAGGCGTTAGCTACTCAGCGAATGGAGCTTGCAAGAAGCCTACACAAACCTACGCAAACAGGCTGGAAGAAAGCGAAGCGCCGACTGAGGTACCTACGTGGCACATCGAACTACGAGTTCTGTGTCCAGCCTACCGCCCAGTTGAATGATGAACAGAAACTACTGGACCTCGATGTCTACGGGGACGCAGGGCTGGCTGTCCAATGACAAGGAAACCTACTTCAGGATTCACGGTCTACTTTCTTGGAACACCAATACAATCTGGAAGCCGAAAGCAAGCACCAGTGACGCAAAGCAGCGCAGAGAGTGAGCTCTATGCAATATGCGCAGGAACAATCGAAGCGCTACGCATCAAGGAAATCCTCAAAGAAGCTAAGCGTTCGACTGCCCGGCAGGCAAAAGCATTGCTACAACACAAGGTACATCAAAGAAGGCAAAGCGCATACAAATCAAATTTCTCTACGGGCAACAACTTGTCAAGGACAGTATCTCACCAGGGTCCACAAGGTCACGCACACTACAGCACAGTAGACATCTTCACCAAACTGGTAACTCGCGAAACATTACATCGCTTATTTGAGACGGCAGGTCTGAAAGACCGTGCCTAAGCCATGGCCCCTACATCATTGAGTATAAATAGACGCATACTGCCGGCTACTTCAAGTTTGTTTTCTTTTTCAGGTTGAAGTACTACACCTTAGAGACCTCCATGTAGATCTATGTGTTGAGACATTCATTTCTACAGTGTTTGAAGCTTTTTGCGCGCGCTACATTTTGCTGTGATTTCGTTGGCTCTATGTTTTCGAATCTGCAGCCTCTTTCTCTACAAGCTCGCTCTGCTGCTACTCTACGCAGGCGGCAGGCGCCATCTACTGAGAAATGGCGTCCATGTATAGTTCATTGATGGCTCAGACCGTGAAGCGCTCCTACCAGGTCATTGTGGAAGAGCTACGCTCTACCTACATCCTCAAGGAGGAGACAACCCAGCGCCACTTGGTGGCTACATTGAGGCCAAGCAGAAGGTCAAGTTCTACTTTCAAGGGTGAACTCTACCTACTGAAGAATGAAGCTGGCTACGTGACACACATCCGGGCCGATTTTCGCCAGCCTCTCTACGACAGGCTGCGCAGATGTGCGGACATTAACCACTGTGTGCCCTACATGGCATACGACTACATTGTGTGTGAACCACAGCTCTACCCTCAAGAGCTTCTACGTCATGGTCTTTGAGACTATTTCAGCAGCGCTACGTCCGAGCAACGGATGATGAGATGATCTCTACTTTGATGAGGGCCCATGTCAGTACCCAGATTGCCTTCCACAAGGATGGGAGCTGACTACGTCGCCTGCAAAGGTGACCTTCAAAGGTGAAGATGATCATCTTGGCACACCTACTCGAGGGGCTACGCTATTGACTTCTGGGTTGGGTGATCACCAGCATGGAAGATGTTGAGAGCACCTACCCGTCGAAGAGCGGTACGGTTTGGGAAACGTAGCGTGCGCAATTACCGACGCTGGCTTTGGGTTGGCTGCCATTGAAGAGGCGGGTTCTACATTGATGCTATGCGTCATTGCGTCATCAGAGCTGCCTACAAGCATTGCTTAGTGATGATCCCTCACCTCCTCTCCTGATGTCGCCTCCTCCTGCCGGTCTTACTCCAGTGGATGGGCTAGTCTACTTAAAGACACAGGCCTAGGGATCGCATTAAACCTTTAAAGCTACAAGCCTACAGCCAATGTATACTACTTTTGTGATTTGGTTTCTTCATGGTCTATTATGTTTTTTTTGTATGCTTTGTTCCAGCTTTTGCAGTATTGCTATTACAGATGTACTTCTGTCAAGCTGAGGGAGCACATTAAGAATACTCTACAGGAGGTATCTCTACATGTAAATACTGATGCCATTCTACTTCAAGGCCTTGAGCAGACTGCCCCAAGAGAAATACAAACCCCAACTACCAACTCTGGCTTAACCGTAGGTTGCTGATTTTAACGAGGGAGAGAGGGAGAAAGAGAGGGAGAGAGGTGGGAGAGAGTGGGAGAGGGAGAGAGTGGGAGAGGGAGAGAGATGGAAAGAGGGGGAGAGGTTTGCAAACATTATGTGCCTGCAAAGCTGCAATTTTGAGAAGTCATGTAGTTAGCTGCGTTATAGTTGCTTTGCTCCTGCAAACCAGCAAATTTCAGGAAACACTTACAAACACACCCGCAGCTCCAAGTCTCAGAGGGAACTGTTTCAATAACCAACCTCCTTGTACTATCTTGTTTTGCAATCACATTGTTCTTGCGCAAACAAGACTTTAACTTCCAAGTGATTCTACTCTTATTTATTTTTTTGTTTTAACGATATATCTTTTAGTGCATATGATATGCATTCTCTTTTTCCGGCAAACTCTTCCACTCCTCAATGCAGTTGCCTCGGACTCAAACAATTTTTGTTATTAGCGCAATCTTGTTCATTCTTTCTATTCGCAAAAATGTTTTAGAACGTTAATGTGAACCAACCAAGAACAAACAGAATCAAACAATTGCGTGGCCACTACCCTAGGCCTGGCAGCCACTACCCTAGGCCTGGCAAGCGGCAAACGTAATCACAAGTGGATTCTAGTTAGCTGGCCTCTTGTTTTCGTATTCAGCTTGCCCCCCTGCTTGTTCAAGTGACGTGGGCAAATAAAGGAAACAAGGCGCAAAGCAAGTTCAAGAGAGGAGAACTAGTCAAGAAGAATCTGTGTAGAGTGTAGAACAGACGAGACCTAGGAATGAACACATTTGCTTGAGACTGCCAATGTGTGTTTGGTGCAGAATAGGTATTAACAGTGGAAGACTTAATGTAAAAAATAGAGATGGCCAACATGTGCTTGTGAGTGAAACAATTTACATTGAAGGGAACAAAACATTTAAGGCAGTAGAAAAAAGGGTCACCTAATTATATAATCCACCATATGACACAAACTGTTCTGCTCATCTCAAGGTCTACATTGTCTTTATAAATCACATACAAAGCGTGCTTCTTCTCCTTTGCCTTGCCTTCACGTATCTGAAACGATCAAGAAGGTAGATTTGCTTTTGGGCATAATTCTCTCTCTCTCTCTAAATATACATATACACCTAGCATTATCTATATGTGTGCACTAAAATTGAGTGCCGGCATCATCATCACGCTCAAGGCATGTGGAGTCTGTCATCTGACTCTGACGTTTTGTCTTTCCTTGGTGAATTCAAGGCTTGTGCTTTAATTCCTTCCACCTCCTGGACTGGCTCCTGAACCTGACAGGTTCCCTGTTCGTTCAGTTGGACTGGAGAGGAGAGCATGGCAGCTTACCCAGATCTTGAAGGAGCTTGCCGGTCTCCAAAGCTGACATCGATCTCCTCGTGTCGGCTTTGAATCGTTTGAGTGTGGCCTTAGAGAGATCTTGGTCGTCTTCGACTCCCCCAGGGTCTGTGGCTGGTGTAGCTGGCTGGGAGTTGGTTGAGCCTTCCTTCGAGCCCTGATGAGAAACGCTGCGACTAACCAAAGCTATATACACATATACACTGGAGATATGTGCGTAACGTGCACACCAATCTGCTAGAGGCTAGAGTGGTTTTCCCTTGGCTAGCGCACACGACATGAGCTGAAGTTCCACGGCACCTGAAAGCAGGGAGGCTGTGGTCCTAGAGCTTCTGTGGTTTATCGTTAGAGACCAACGGCAGATGAAGATCTTCGACTTCTACTGGACTCTCCATGAAAATCGAAAACCTGTCTGTAGAGGTTCATCCTCCTCATCTGCACTGAGCTGTACTGTATGTAGGATTCCCACGTCTTCATTTGTCCTGCTATCACTGGAAGTTCGTAGAACTTGACGATCTCCACCATCTGTAGTCCACCATCAAGGTCCACCATTTGTAGCGCATCATCGACTAACATTGAATTGGATACTGCTTGAAGCAGAACACTGCATCATTTGCATATTCTACACGGGGTTCTCGGAGGACTCACCATCTGAGCCAGACTTGGAGGCGCAGGTGCGGGACTTGGACATCACATTCCTTTTTTGGAGCGAGCTGAACGTGGTGCTTCGTAGGATCAAGCAGCAAGGCGATGCGGCGACATGTGCGAGACCCCACCAAGTGGCGAAGGGAAGCTGGTTGGTTAGTTAGTCATGATAGCCATGACTAGGAAGATGTTTTTTTGGAACAGGTTTCCCTAGATCTTGCCGTTCTGCTACTGGTGCACCATTCATTGTGCTTGCTGTTATCTACTTTCAACTCTGCCAGGCTTTGCGGACGGGTGACCAGTTGGTCCCAGGCAGTTCTTCTCCGAAGTGTCAGACTTTGTTCAAATTTGTATAAATGTACGTAGCGTCCTTGCTCCTAGTAGTAAGGCACTTGTTACTAGAAGCGATGCACTTGTTACTAGTAGCTTCTTGCTCCTAGTAGCAAGAATGCTCCTAGTAGCGTCCTTGCTCCTAATAGCGATGCCAGGAGCCCCTAGTAGCTTCTTGCTCCTAGTAGTAAGGCCAGGAGCCCCTAGTAGCGTCCGGCCCGGAGGGAAGACTTATATACCTTTGTTTGTAGGTTGTGTTAAGAAGGTTTTGCACTTGCGTGGATTGTCTCGGGGCCTTTCAGCCTGATATTACGCATTTTTTGGCTGCCTCACAGTCTGTCGCCAGGATACCAAGCTTGGCCTGGAAACAACAGGACTGACGAAAGTATGCTTAATTTGGGGACGATCTGAGAATCGAGCAGTCGACGACCTTACCATTCGGTGCATTCGAACAGCAGCGCACCAACATGCGATTATTCTGAAAGGCAAGCCAGGTAGACTCACCAAGAAAGCTTGCAATATCCTTGTGCTGGCCCTTTTATGGGCAAATTGCCTCTCTTAGTCTCTGATCAGTTTGAAAACGGCGTGTCACGTTGTCGTTGGATGGACAGGTTCTTCTTCAAGGGTCGCTGCATGACAGGCAGGCGGCAGGAGCTGGAACCTGGATATGTCTAAAGCTAGTCTCAAGCATACAAGTTGCTGACCTAATCACCTTTTGATCGCTGATATCAGGTTAGTTGTCGCTGTTGTTTTTGAGTCGGTCTGACAAATCCACTTGCAGTTGTTTGAGTGCCCAAACAAGGGTTGATTGCTACGGTGATGTTCGGACTTCATATTGTCAGAATGGATTGATCGGAACAGCGAGAGTCAAGAGCCTGTTGAAGGTCCGGAACCTGCCATGCTGCTGTGTACCTCTACTTTGCTGCGGCCTAAGATCGTGACGACTGGGAATTCTCCAACGTGCAAGTCCTGCAGAAACTCTGTCGCATAACATGTCCAAACGGCAAAATCCGCGAAACAATACTGTATTGAGTTCAAACCCGTGGTGCGAGATGACCCTTGGCATTCTGTACATTTTTGTAGCAGACAATTTGGGGCGCGGGGCAAATGGAGCCTGTCATTGCCTCTGACAACTCAGGTTGGTTTTGCCAGTGGGCCTCTTTGCAGTCATGGCTACTTGGCCCCAAAAGACGTGGACCTGCTGCTGCTGCTGGTGTTCTTTTTTTGTTGTTGGCGGCCACGAATCAATACCCCTGCGACTTCTCTAGTTCTGGGACGCGACTTTGGCTATGAGAGGAGCTAGCCCATCAGCTTCGCCGGCCTCTAGACTTTGCGAAGTGCCCAGGCAGCTTTGCTGCTCGCAGGCGTCGCGAAGACGGTGGGCAGGCACAGGAACAAGTTTCCTTCCAATCTCAGTGCTGCCGCTCGTGCTTCGAAAGCGTGAGAAGCTGAGGTCAACCTCCAGACCTGGCCACCCATCCCAGATGTAGTGAGGAGCTTGAAGATCGCCCAGTGAGTAGAGCTAGATTGGGGAAAATTTGCACGTTCTCAACATGCTTTCCTTCAACCATGGTGGCGGACACCCTGTGCGCCGATGCACGCCCATCGTGTGCCTACTTTGCAGTCCTGGTCGGTTGGCTGACAGGGAAGGACTACATGAACGACTCCTGCCCGAAACATCGCCGACTTGCAACGCAGTTCCAAGCCAATGGGACGGCGCAGTGGAACAGGATTGGGTCGAGATCTACACGAGGGGGGGGGGAGGGCTCATTGGTGTGCCCATTGGGTTTGCCCTCTCGAGCTTGCCCTCTTGCGCCCTGCCACTGTGTGAGAGCTTGGGCTTGGCAACCTGGAGGCCCTTTAGCTGTTTGTGCCCTATAACATTGAGAGCCTTCGGTCTTTTGGTGCTTGATGGCGTCCTAAGTGGATCACGCTGCCTGTCTGTGGCAATTTGCGGGCAAGGGGGCCAGTTCCCAACTTCTGCATCGGGGAGGTCGGGTGCGGGCCATCTCACACAGCTATGGTCGTAGTCGTAGTTGTAGCAGGAGTAGCAGTAAAAATAGGAGTAGGAGTAGGAGTAGGAGGAGGAGGAGTAGTAGTAGTAGTAGTAGGAGTAGCAGTAGCAGTAGCAGTAGCAGTAGCAGTAGTAGTAGTAGTACTACTACTAGTACTGGTACTAGTAGTAGTAGTAGTAGTAGTAGTAGTAGTAGTAGGAGCAGTAGGAGCAGTAGGAGCAGTAGGAGCGGTAGGAGCAGTAGGAGCAGTAGGAGCAGTAGGAGCAGTAGCAGTAGGAGTAGTAGTAGTAGTAGTAGTAGTAGTAGTAGTAGGAGTAGCGGTAGCGGTAGCGGTAGCGGTAGCAGTAGCAGTAGCAGTAGTAGTAGCAGTAGTAGTCGTCGTCGTCATCGTCCTCGTTCTCGTCCTCGTCGTCGTAGTGGTAGTGGTAGTGGTAGTGGTAGTGGTAGTGGTAGTGGTAGT